AAAGAAAAAAAAAAATGTAAACTAAAGTACCTTGTTCGATATATATATAACAACAGAGAGAGAAAAAAGATTGAATAGAGAAGCTTGTTCTTCTCGTCTCCTTGTTGATGTTCCCATGTATCATCAAAAAATGTTGGTAAACATAGTTTTGATTAAGCATGCAAGCAAAAACCGAATCGAATGGATTAAGGGGCTCATCGATGAAGGAAGAGAAATCCGAAAAAAAAATGAAAAAAAAAAAAATCAAACAAAATTTAAAAAAGTTTTATTGTGGGATATTTAGGAATGTAATGGGAGAAAAAAAAATGAAGAAAAAAAAATATGAGTTGCAAAGATTTTCAAGAATGTAGGGTGGGAGAATGTGACATTGAGGTTTTTGGCTATTGATTTTTTAGGAGAGAGAAATAAAGAAAGAAACCAAATGTAGAAAGTGGGAGAGAAATTTTAGAGAAATGAAAGAGATTGAGGACCACCAAAATCTCCCAAAATGAGGGTGAGAAGTGGATTGAAGGAAATGTACATATGAACTTTCAAGAATTCAACCAAAATTTTTAATTGGAACAATTATATTAATATATAGTATTAATAGATGATAAATTGATAATTGATGAAATTGGATAGTGATTATGTGATTAATACTTGGCATGATTTACTTGTTATATATAGAAGGTTGACTCAACTATGGAGCCTACTGTTGGTTTCATAATAAAATTGTCCCGTCTTAAATATAATTAAATAGATTATAATTAGCTAACTAGATGTCATTGGTATAACTAGAAACTTCTCATTTGATATTTACATAGTCATTTCTTTATATTCTTGTCTTACCAAAACATAAATCGGGTGGACACAGGTTCACAAGACGTGGATCGAAAGAATACAGGCAAACCATGGCGTGGTCGGATACAATATATTCGCTCAAAACTAGTTCTATTAATTAATAGTATTAACTTTGAAAAAAGATGATAGTTATTACAATTTTAAATTTATTTTAAATTAATATTAAAAATAAAATAATTAAATTCTGAGAATATTTCTATTTTTTACCAATGATTCAGATAATCAGGGCAGCATCAAATCGTCACTTTTGCTATAACCATCACTCATTAGATCAAGCATCCGATGGATCTATACATACATCCCAACATTCAAAATCAGAAAAATTGCACTATTCGTCCACTAATTATACTCCCGTTGCACTTTTGTCTTTTAATTGTTTTCGGTACTTTTGGTACACTAACATTTTTCTTTTGGCAAATTTAGTCTAAATCGACATTCGATGCTCATTTTTGCTGAAAAATCTGACGTGTTGCCCAGTAAGATCTGATTTTTGATTTCCGGCGTGATTTGGCAGGATACATGCCCAAGTGTTTGGACACATGGAACAAAATAATATATATTTTTTTTAAAAAAATAAGAAAAGGTTAAAACTTCAACACATGTGGATTAAAATCAAACAAAAAGAAAAGGTCGTTCAATTCTACCTCGCTATCTATTACTTATCAGGTCGAGTTCTAGTTTTTAGGTCATTTAGGTCGAGTGTGACAAATATTTGAGCCAACGACCTGGTCTAATGTCTATGATCGACCTAATGGCCTTGGTGAGTCGGCTGTCGAGTAGTGTTTTGAAAGATTACGTGATGGGTGCCAAATTTTGACAAAATCACATTGCATTTCACGTTGGAGGTGCTAAGAAGTTGTGTTTTGTTGACAATTGGTAATGCAATTCACATTGTGTTTATGTCGAGCTATATCCCCCTAATTCAGAGTGCGCTGAGCCTACGTGGTTGCTTCTGGTGCTTTAGAATCATATGTGGCAAAATTACATGCTTCGTTATTAGGCTTGGGTAAATTTTAATTTAATTCCAAACCAACACTAATTAGGTTCAGATTACCATAAATATGTTAATTATTTATGGTCATGTTACATGTATTAATTGCATTTTAATATCATTCATTATTATAACTATTGAATTGTATATATATTTTAAAAGTTAATAACTTTTGTATTTTTTATCAGTTTTACATATGTAACATATCAAATTAATCTTCTTTTTATGAGTTTTGATTTAACATCCATATTGTATGTATAAAAAAATAATTAATATTTAACTTTATAACAATAATGAAATTAATTTTAATATTAATTAGAAAAATAAAATTGTTTATCAACTAATATATTTATATTTCAAGTAGTTATATGATATAAGTTATAAAAACTAATATAATATAACACATGTAAGTCATAAGTAACACATATCATTCTAAAATATATAGTAATATATTTTTTTTTTGTAAAAAAGTAAATTAAATTTAATATAGTTTTCTCATTAATTTTAAAATTTAAGAATAATTTTTTAACAAGCACCCGTGTAATACACGGGTGTTGTACTAGTTCTTATATATATCAATCGAGTGATGTTGAATAAGTTTGAGTTAAAAAAATATTTAGTGAAGAGTGATTGTATAAATTTGTATCCAATAATCCAAACAATCCCTTCAGACCGGCATATTCAAATATTGGTAAACAGAAAAAGTCGTGAGCTGATCAATAAAAATATTTGACTCCATAAAATGATCTCAAAATGTCAATGGAAACAATAATAAATTATTCAAATATTGGTAACAGAATAAGCTATGAGCTGATCAATAAAATTATTTGACTCCATAAAAATGATCTCAAAATCTTAATCGAAACCATATATTTTTCTATAAGGAGACTTTACCGGGAGGTGAAACGCTTTAAACTAAAAAAATTAAATCCTCACCAAGAGCGCTTGGATGAAATGACTTGGGTCTCTTCCAGCTTAATCAGTGGTCTCGTATTCGAGTCCTGGGAATGCAGTAGTGTTAAAACTCTTGAGGGAGAGCTTTGCCGCCCTTATGGTCCTACTTGGCTCGATTCTGGATTAGTCGGTTCGCCTGTGGATCCAGAAACCG